GGAGGGTTTTCGCCGCGTGGGCGCGGTGGCGACGGCAGCTCGGGCGTTCAAGGTCGAGCGCGTCCAGAGGCCCACCATCGGCTGAGAGCGAACGATCCGCGATACCCGAAAGCTGCGATCGTTCAGGCTCGATCGATCCACGCGGCCTCAGAAACCGACACCGAGGCCATCGCGATGCGAACCTGCCGTGCCCATCGTTTGAACATACGTCCTTGCTGGTTTCCAATCTTCCAATCTACCTCAGGCATGCTCCTCTTTCAAATATCGAACGTTCTTGTTATGATCATTTTCTCTTCAGAAGGCGAGCGGAAATCCGATCTACTTTAACGCTTCATGTTTCTACCGACTTCTTCCGAACGATAGGAGCCAGCTCTCATGAACGGTTGCTGGCTGCCCTTTCCTCTTTGCCTTCGTCGTCGTCGTCCTCCTCCTCATCCTCCTCCTCCTCCTCCTGTGGCGCTGCTCCGCTTTGTGTGCACCTCCCGCCGATGCCGTGTGGTCTACCGAGTGCCTTGGAACCCCCGTCCGGCCTAGTAAGATGCTGGTAAGCCCTTCCGACCACTGAAGGTGGTTCCGCTGCGCTACACGCTGGGAAAAGGGGGGCCCGCCAACAGCTGAACAAAGGGGAAACCCTCATCTCGATCCTTCTTCCGTTCGCCAGACCCGCTCCGCGCCCGCCTCTTGTCCTTTTGCGGCTGAGTGCAAGATGATTTCTCATGCGGCTGGACGCACAAGGATTCCCTTTGTGCCCGATTACAAGAGGAAGTCCTCTTGCGGCGGAATATAACGGATTCCTTTTGTGGCCGAGCATATAAGGATTCTCTTTGTGGCAGAATGCACAAGGATTTCTGCTGCTGTGGATTACTACAGGGTCTCTTGAGTGGCGGAGTATAAATGGACTCCTTCTGTGGTTGATGACATAGAGATTCCACATGTGTCGGAATGCAGGAGGAAATCCTTTTGGGGCCGGGCACAGGATGGTTCTCCTTGTGGTGGCAAAGTGCAAAAAGGATTCATTCATTGGAAGAATACTAGTGGTGGATTACGAAGCGATTCGTTTAGTAGTGGAATGAGTATAGCAATATTCCATCTGTGGTTGATTACCACGGGATTCCTTGTGTGGCGGAAAACAAACGTATTTTTCTGTTGTGGAGGGATGCAATCGGATTCCTTTCAGGGTGGAGTGCAAATGGATCCTCCCTGTGAACGAACAGTTTTGACAAACACCGAAAAAACCCAAACGCAAGACAACGAAACAAACAAACAACCACAAGCTCCAGTAACACATGATTTTGGCACATTTGTGGCGACGGCCCGCGGATATTTGCCCGAACAAAAAGGTTTTTTTTTGGTGGGTGGGTGGGTTGTCACCGCCTTTCGCTGACAACGGAAATCCTTGTGTAGTACGACTTAAAGATGGAATACATTTGAATTTCGCCACAATACACAGAGTCTTGTTGTATTCTGCGACAAAAGGAATTCGTTTTGGTAAGGCAACTTTTTGTTTCTTTCCATCACTAACGGATTTTGCCCCTATTCTGCAACAGACGGAATCGTTTTGTAATCCGCCACAAGGGGAACCTTTCGATATTCGGCCACACTAGGATATCTTTTGTATTCCGCCACATAAACAATCACCAGGACACCAATCACAGGAGTCCTGTGCTAGCCTGCCACAAGGAATCCTTTTTTTCCCAACCATCCTGTGGTGTTGGGTCCTCGTTTTGAAGAGACGGTGGTCCGCGTCTCCTCCTCCTCCTCTCCTCTCCTCTCCTCTCCTCCTCTCCTCCTCCTCCTCCTCCTCCTCCTCCTTCTCCTCCTCCTCCTCCTCCTCCTCCTCCTCCTCCACCTCGGGAGCTCCACCGAAGGTCCCAGTCCCGCATGCGTCCCCACCCCATTTCGGCACACCCCTCACACGTTTCGTGGCCCCATAGGGAGCTCCACCGAAGGCCCCAGGGCTGCCGCCCGCATGCGTCCCGCACACCCATTTCGGCACACCCCTCACACGTTTCGTGGCCCCACAGGGAGCTCCACCGAAGGCCCCAGTGCTGCCGTCCGCATGCGTCCCGCACACCCATTTCGGCACACCCCTCACACGTTTCGTGGCCCCATAGGGAGCTCCACCGAAGGCCCCATGGCTGCCGTCCGCATGCGTCCCGCACACCCATTTCGGCACACCCCTCACACGTTTCGTGGCCCCATAGGGAGCTCCACCGAAGGCCCCATGGCTGCCGTCCGCATGCGTCCCGCACACCCATTTCGGCACACCCCTCACACGTTTCGTGGCCCCACAGGGAGCTCCACCGAAGGCCCCAGTGCTGCCGTCCGCATGCGTCCCGCACACCCATTTCGGCACACCCCTCACACGTTTCGTGGCCCCACAGGGAGCTCCACCGAAGGCCCCAGTGCTGCCGTCCGCATGCGTCCCGCACACCCATTTCGGCACACCCCTCACACGTTTCGTGGCCCCATAGGGAGCTCCACCGAAGGCCCCATGGCTGCCGTCCGCATGCGTCCCGCACACCCATTTCGGCACACCCCTTTCGGCACACCCCTCACACGTTTCGTGGCCCCATAGGGAGCTCCACCGAAGGCCCCATGGCTGCCGTCCGCATGCGTCCCGCACACCCATTTCGGCACACCCCTCACACGTTTCGTGGCCCCATAGGGAGCTCCACCGAAGGCCCCAGTGGCTGCCGTCCGCATGCGTCCCGCACACCCATTTCGGCACACCCCTCACACGTTTCGTGGCCCCATAGGGAGCTCCACCGAAGGCCCCAGTGGCTGGGTTCCGCATGCGTCCCCACACCCATTTCGGCACACCCCTCACACGTTTCGTGGCCCCATAGGGAGCTCCACCGAAGGCCCCAGTGCTGCCGTCCGCATGCGTCCCGCACACCCATTTCGGCACACCCCTCACACGTTTCGTGGCCCCATAGGGAGCTCCACCGAAGGCCCCATGGCTGCCGTCCGCATGCGTCCCGCACACCCATTTCGGCACACCCCTCACACGTTTCGTGGCCCCACAGGGAGCTCCACCGAAGGCCCCAGTGCTGCCGTCCGCATGCGTCCCGCACACCCATTTCGGCACACCCCTCACACGTTTCGTGGCCCCATAGGGAGCTCCACCGAAGGCCCCATGGCTGCCGTCCGCATGCGTCCCGCACACCCATTTCGGCACACCCCTCACACGTTTCGTGGCCCCACAGGGAGCTCCACCGAAGGCCCCAGTGCTGCCGTCCGCATGCGTCCCGCACACCCATTTCGGCACACCCCTCACACGTTTCGTGGCCCCATAGGGAGCTCCACCGAAGGCCCCATGGCTGCCGTCCGCATGCGTCCCGCACACCCATTTCGGCACACCCCTCACACGTTTCGTGGCCCCATAGGGAGCTCCACCGAAGGCCCCAGTGCTGCCGTCCGCATGCGTCCCGCACACCCATTTCGGCACACCCCTCACACGTTTCGTGGCCCCATAGGGAGCTCCACCGAAGGCCCCATGGCTGCCGTCCGCATGCGTCCCGCACACCCATTTCGGCACACCCCTCACACGTTTCGTGGCCCCACAGGGAGCTCCACCGAAGGCCCCATGCTGCCGTCCGCATGCGTCCCGCACACCCATTTCGGCACACCCCTCACACGTTTCGTGGCCCCACAGGGAGCTCCACCGAAGGCCCCAGTGCTGCCGTCCGCATGCGTCCCGCACACCAGGTGTGTGGCGTGCCGACATGGGCGTCGCGGCGCGCGGGCGCTGCCGTCGGGGTTCCCAGGGAAGCCCCCTGCAGAGGCGACGCTCAGAGTCACGAGTACCGAGAGTCACGCAGACCCAAACTGTTCACAGTCGTATACATACATTTACACTGGGCGTATCCATGCACGCATTCATGCGAATAGAATCAATCGCGCGCAGATTCATTCATAATCAGACTCGCTCGCGATCCGACTCGCACGCGCTCAAGCTTTCATATTCGGACCTATCGTCTTCGTTCGTGTTGTGTACACTGCCACGCATTTCGGCACACCCCTCATACGGCTCGTGGCCCCATAGGGAGCGCCACCGAAGAAGATATTCACAATTGCGGTGCTCTCAACTGCATATGGTTGGGTCTTTCGCCAGGCTAATTTTATCCACCACAAAAATCGAATCACTTAGTACCCCGCCACAAAGGAAATCCTCCAGTATTCCCCCACCAAGGGAATCCTTTGGTATGCCGCGGCGCAAGGGAGCCTTTTGTATTTCGGCACGCAAGGAATCCTTTTGTATTCTGCAGCAAATGGTGAACCCTTTTGTATTCGGCCACATAAGGATTCCCTTTGTATTCCGCCACACACGGAATCCTTGGGTAAACAACCACGGACGGATTCTTTTCGTATTCTGCCCCGCAGGATTTTCCGTAGTATTCCACCATGCAATGAATCCCTCGTATTCCGTTGCAGGGGGGATCCTTCGGTATTCTGCCACGAAGGGAATTTTGTTGTATGCCGCCACGCGGGTTTTTGTTTTGCATTCCGCCACACACTAATTATTCTTCCGTACTTCGCCACACGAAGTTTTGTACAACAAAGGGGGTTCTTTTGGTATCCCGCCATAACGGGAGTACGTTTGCATTCCGCCGCAAAAGGCATCCTTTTGTAATGCGAACTCGATGTTCGGCCGTCAAAGTCACTGGCGCATTGGAAAAGGTATTCCCTTGGTGGTGGAATGCACAGTGATGCATTCGGGTGGATTTTGCTTATGTGTAAAATAAAAGTAGACATATAAAACCCACAAAGTAAACACATAAGCATGCGCCGACTGCACAAAAAGTTCCTTGCGTGGCGGATTGCAAACAAGATCTCGTTCGTTGCTTCGTTGAAAGAAGAAGACGCGCTCAAACCGCGCAGACGTGCATCTTGCTCGGCGCCCATCCTCCACGAGATTGTCTCTACCGCGCAGCTGTTCGAGTCAACGCAGCAGCCCCCTAGTTTTTGACCAGCCGGGAACTTGAAGGTCGTGCACCATGGCGGCCATGCGCAGCACGTTTCTGACCATTCTCCTGGCGACATCTTCGGCTGCACGGGAACGGGTAAGGACTCATTCCAGTTATCGATCGATTTACGTGTTAGCAGCGTGCGGGGCGATTTGATGCAGTGTGCACATGTTCTGTATGAGCCTTTTTATCCCAGGTATTCGGGGCTTTCACATGGGTTGCCGCCACCGTAATTGATAATCACACGGGTTGCTAGACAATGGGATTCCACCAAGCGTCGAACCAACGTGAGCATGTATGGTCAGGGGCAGGAGGTCATCGAACGTCTCAGCGTTCTCGCGCCAGATACTTGAATGAGCTTTCGCGGTCTGATTTTCGACGATCGAATTAAGAATGCCGTCGGTTTTACCTCTCGATGTGTTCGCGACCCTATATCAGCGGTGGGCCTGCTGTATGCATATAATTAGCACGCACACGACGATCCTTTCCGTATTCGTTTTAGTGGAAGGAAGATGTGGAGGAGCGATCCTGGATAAGTCAATGAATATTGGGAGGGGGAGGACGACGGAAGACGGGGATGAGGAGGGACACGGAGGAATGAGACAACAGAAAGAACAGCATGATGAGTAGTATGAGGCAGTAAGAGGAACAGGAGGACGATGAGGACGATGATGATGATGATGATGATGATGCTGAAACTGCTGCTGATGATGATGATGATGATGATGATGATGCTGTCGCTGATGAGGATGTCGCTGATGATGCTGATGATGATGCTGCTGATGATGATGGTGATGAGGATGATGATGATGCTGATGCTGATGCTGTTGCTGCTGATGATGATGCTGTTGCTGATGATGATGATGATGCCGATGCTGATAATACTGACGATGATGCTGATGATGACGCCGATGGTCATGATGCTGATGGTGATGCAGCTGATGATGACGCTGATGCTGCTGCTGATGATGATGCCGATGATGATGCTGATGCTGATTCTGCTGCTGATGATGATGATGCTGCCCATGATGAGGCTGATGATGCTGATGATGATGAGGCTGCTGATGGTGATGATGATGACGATGCTGATGCTGATGCTGATTCTGCTGCTGATGATGATGCTGCTGATGATGATGTTGATGATGCTGATGATGATGCTGCTGATGGTGATGATGATAATGATGATGCTGCGGCTGCTGCTGCTTATGATGATGATGTTCTCAATGATAATGCTGATGCTGCTGACGATGCTGCTGCTGATGATGATGCTGATGCTGCTGCTGCTGATGATGATGATGCTGATTCTGCTGATTATGATGATGGTGGTGGTGGTGATGATGATGCTGATGATGATGGTGATGGTGGTGATGAGCACGAGGAGGACGAGGAGGAGGAGGAGCAGGAGGAGACCGAGGAGATCGAGGAAGAGGAGGAGCAGGAGCAGGAGGAGGAGGAGAAGGAGGAGGAGGAAGAGAAGGAGGAGGAGGAGGAGGAGGAGGAGGAGGAGGAGAGGAGGAGGAGGAGGAGGCTAAGGAGGAGGAGGAGGAGGAGGTGGAGGAGGAGGAGGAGCAGGAGGAGGAGGAGGAGGGAAAAGGAGGTGGAGGTGGAGGAGGAGACGAGCAGGAAAAGGAGGAGAAGCAGGAGGAGGAGGAGGAGCAGCAGCAGGAGGAGGAGGAGAAGTAGGATGAGCAGGAAGAGGAGGAGGAGGATGATGATCCGGATGATGATGATGATGATGATGATGATGATGATGATGATGATGATGATGATGATGATGATGATGATGATGATGATGATGATGATGATGATGATGATGATGATGATGATGATGATGATGATGATGATGCTGATGATCATGATGATGATGATGATGCTGATGATGATGATGATGCTGATGATGATGATGATGATGCTGGTGATGATTATGATGATGATGCTGATGATGATGCTGATGATGATGATGATGATGATGGTGATGACGTCGATGATGAT